CACTTTGACTCCATCGAGACGACGTTTTCAATGGTGTATTTCAGAATTCAATTGTTTACAGTTTCGTCTTTATGTTTGACTCTATATTCAATAACAAAGTTCATAATTTTATTCATTAACGTCATCACATCAGCTCAATCAAGCTAACTAAGGCTAATTTTCACGCATTCTGTGTAGATTCACAGAGTTTTATATTCTATTAGGAATTTAGTCCATTCATATACCTTAAATAGTGACGAGTTTGCAAATGTAGATTAAATTCTGCTTCACTATGATCAACGTAGATCTGTGTTCTGTGTCTGTATATCAATATTCACTTCAAGAAATATTCTTCTGACTTTCTTTCACTGGAGTAATCTTTGTGCCTGACAACAGACGTCACCACTTCGTGTAATGATACACTGTCCATGAATTCATATTATGTTTTACGAAAATTCGCCATTTGCTATGAACAAAGGTTTGTAATCACTACGTGACGAGGTTTTCTTCCTGGTTACGTAATATTTTTCACATCTTCTTGACAAAATTGCACATGCATTAGTTTCGCAATAATGGTTTTGACTGATTAATATGACTAATTAGGGAATTATCATTTTAATGCTGTGCATTCTAAGCCAGTTTAGCTGAAGCTAAGTCTAATAAAAAGGGAGCCATTCGACAATTATCAATTGATTGTCAAGTCGTGTAATCTCGCTAACAACACTGTTACGGCATCAGCCATATATTAGGGAAAATAAGACGAGAAAGCAGTTACTCATTAACAGCACAGCATGGCGGAAGTTAGAAAGTATGTTTCAAGGAACTGCCACGGAGTGATTGGATGATAATATGAAATCTGACGCTCATGGACTCGCTCATTCAGTTATCTTATGAATGAGGATGTCGTGAATCTTGAAACCGTAGTGAGACGTGTATTTTTCCCTTTATTTACCAAAAATTCATAAACTAGTCTATATGCGTGATAAGACTGAGTGGATCAGCAGGTGAGCATAATGATTCTGAAAACAGTTGAATCCTCAGAACAACAACAGAGCGAATACGAGGTAAACCTCAAGCTAGAATTGTCGATGCCTTTTGTGATATTCGCGCCCCTTAAATGGATGGTATTTCACAAAGTCATTTGTACAAAGTAACTGCTTTCCTAAGGATTCTTAGTTTGACACATGTGATTGAGGTTGCGCTCACTTAGCTGCAGCCTGTATATTTGGTGGATTTACTATGCTCAAATTAGACGGTTCTGATTCTTGCCCTACCAAAGTGGAAGTATAATATTCCCAGTTAAGCGAGCTTTGAAACTTCACTTTTGATATAAGTAGGGTCTTATTTGCATAGAAGAATTGTAGGCAGGTGGTGATCTCGACAAAATAGTATGCTTCAATTTTGACATTTGGTTTTACCATATCTACGTGGTATAATGCCATTACACTGGAAATCGTGGTCAAGCTTCTTGCTTGCACTAGCTGGTGGGTGGCACAAGCCTGCTACCAGTGATTACTCTGTTTCCAAGAATATCTTGATTTCGATAAACGTTTGGCGCTGCACGTTTAAAATTACTATTCGTTTGTTTGTTTGCTTACAAACTGAGTAGAAGTACTCTGGACGCTGCTGCTGTGTTTCATCATAACATTGTATCCCCCTTAGACAAAGGGGCCAAGTATGTCTTTTGTACGTTCCTTGATTATACATCTGCTTTTGACTCTGTTCCTAGAGGCCTATTGTTAAACAAGCTTAGCCTTACACAAACTGAGTCCTGGGCTATCAACTGGCTGCACTCTTACTTCTCTAATAGTATGCAGTACACGGTATATAATGGTGTATCTTCCTCTCCTTTGCCTACTGAAGCTAGAGTTCCTCATGGTGCTGTTCTCTCTCCGTTTCTCTTTTCCTTCTTCTTACAAGGTTTACCTCTTTCAGATGAAATCGACTTCGTCAAATATGCAGATGACCTGTCTGTATCGTTTCCCATTAAGTCTCAGTCAGACTGTCTCAAATTAAATAGCTTCCTGTCGGACATCAGTGAGTGGTCCAAACTAAATGGTCTCACGCTGAATCCCTCAAAATGCCAGACTATTGACTTCTCCCTTAGGCATAAACGAGATCTACAAACACTATTAAGTTCTCATGAACCCTGCTGGATTGAGGGGGCTAAAATTGAAACTAAGTCTAACGCAAAAGACCTCGGTCTAGTTCTATCTTCCGACCTTACTTGGACATCTCATATCCTAATAATTTCTAAGAAAGTGTTCTGTCTTACCTACTACATTAAGAAACTTAGACAATCTGGAATCACCCAACCTCTACTTTCACAATTTGTCAACTCTTGTATCTTACCTATTCTACTTTACTGCTCCCCGTTAGTCTTTCCTGGTCTACTGAAAAAGGACTATACCATCCTGAGAAGGATGTTGAAGGTAGTTAGTAGGACTAGTGGTGTAAAACTCACTCAGCTCGTCACTACATTAGTTGAAAGGCATCTGAATACATGCGAAAAATGGTCTAAAACCATACTCTCCGACCCCCAACACCCCTTCTATTCCCAACTCTCGCCTTGTATCTCATTAAGTAGAACCAGAAATTAGTATAAAATAATCTATGCTCGTACAACCAAGTACAGGAACTCAACGATAACATATTTGGCCCGTGTTCTAAGTGACAGAGACAGTGTTAAGCGCGAAACCTATGACTTGCTTTGTTATTAACAACATTATTTTAGGCTCTTTTATTTCTCTCTTATTTTGTATTCTATAGTTAACTCCTTCTTGGACACACTTAGCTACCTAAATTACTAACATTGGCTTATCTGTTTGTACTTTACTGTATTCCTTCTTTTGTGTACCTACTGGTTCCGACTATATTAGCACCATGAGTATTGCAAAATTGTCATGTCATTAATCATCACGTAATTATTAGTTTTTGTGGTTGTTTTTTTCTTATTTTTTATTTTTTTTCGGCAATATTTAACTGACAATCATTGGTTGTGAACGCAATAGTCACCACCTTAAAAATTTTGTATTATTCAAGATTACTCACACTACCACTACAAACACTGCATTAGACCTGACAATAAAAAAAAAAACAACAACCCTGAAATGTTATTTTATGTTTGTTTTGTGTTGTTTCTTGACGATAAACATTCTTAAGTATCATTTCATAACTTCTTGTATGACTATAGCTTTACTGTCACCATGCTTAATCATATCATAGCTTCCACTACCCAATGCCGAGTTATTATATGCTGTTTATTTTCCTTTCTATTTCTTGGTATTTTTTCGCATTTTTTAAATTATTTTGTGTTTTTCCTGTTTTTTTGCTGTTGGTGTCTTAATATTTATTCTTTTGAAATAGTCCTTTTAAATGTTTGATAAAATTAGATGCAAATACTGTAGATATGTGCTGAAAATTCCACACTGTACCACTAGTACTGTTTCTGGAATAAAGCAAATTATTATTATTATTTCCTAGATTGACTTATATCTGTTTCACACGCCATGGTGAGCATTAAACAATACGCAGAAGTTACATGATACATTTGAGACAATGTTATCTTACAAATTTTCAGTTACCTTTTAGGACCTGGTAATATTTCGGCCACGAAAGCTTGAGAAACTGCAGTGGACTAGCCAACTGGCTCTCCCGTAGTCAAACTGCAGTGGTAATAGAACGCATTACCCTTCAACCTTCTCAGGTGTCTAGACTCAATTAAATATAAGATCTGTTAAATGCCGATTATCGTCAGTAATGCTCTCCACGATGACAGATCTGAGTAAGGAGTTTTTTGAACTTCCGAAACTTGGTTTGTGTGATGCTGAATTTATCAGTTTCAATTCTGGGCATTCAAATATGGTCTCAAAGATTCATGATTTGTCGATTGGTACTCGGCTGTAATGGGATCAGCTTAGGAAGATCATTTGTGGCACTGTCAATAGACTAGTTTTTGGAAAGTTCAGTTCAAGTTTGAATTTAATAAGTGATAGCAGTTTGTTGCTGAAACTTCAACCTCTGTGTTATTAAGTTATTTCCACTCAATTCAACCTCTTGAATTTTGATTTTTATGACCTTAATAACATTTCAACCAGCTGACTTTGCGTCACAGACTGATATGACACGTGTTCGCGTGAAAAATGTTACCACTGCTTATGATGAATTCACATGGAGAGTACAATGTCGAGATTCGCATTTAGCATACACGTATGCAACGACTGTTGAGAAATTACATCTTGCTCATGAACTTCAACCCTAGGACTACTGTAGTCATGAAAGTGATCATAAGGAGATACTGTCAGAGATTCTAAATACTAAAGGTTTTGCTGCCCAGTTATTTCTTTTTGTTCTCATTCATTCCAATGTATGCAGAATGATAGATATGACGCCGATTAACTTCTTTAATGAAAAGGGTGAATTATGAAGAGAAAAGAGCCACAGTCATTTGTAATACACAGTTCATGCAATCATTACAGACGGATGTGATGACAAAATCGATGGAATTCTGAATACAGTGTGTGTACAGACAAGACCGATGCAGCTCAAAGAAGAAGAGAGGTAGAGGTATTGCCACTTTTATTAATTCTCAGTGGTCTACTGCCAACAGCGTCTGCTTTAAATTCTCAGATGACAAAATTGATTGTATAACTGTTTAGTGCCAATATAAACACTTATCTAAGTATAAATGCATTTTTGTCACAAATATCTATAGAAAATCAAAACAAATGATTCAGTGAAGAGACTCTTTTCAACGAATTTATCATCAAGCTGTACAAGCGTTTATATATGGTTTTTAAGAAGTGATATCCGGTGAGGGAATTGAAACATAGGTGTGAATGCATGAAATAATAATAATATGAAGTGCAATTAAAACTAAAATGTTTGTGATTATAATCGTAGTTAAATGTCAAGTGGCAAAGCAAATTAATGTCATATATAGAATAATTCATAGGATGGATAGAACTTGAAAAAGGTGTGCAATTATAAGATTAGTAGACAAATCGAAAAAATAAAAACGTTGCGTAATATTGTGTGAAATTTAATAGCATAGAATTTAATGTTGCATAAAGGAATTGATTTAGAATGACAAGTGGAACAAGTGAAATAATACAAGGGGACAATTAAAAGTAAGAGTAGTAATAGTAGCAATTGACTTAATAAGGAAGAGTATACAAACTGAATAGACAAAAATTAAAAATTTGTGGAGCTAGTAGGTAGGTTAGTAGGTTTCACGTAACTGACAGGAATAACTGCGCGTAGGTCTCACGCTTATTGGTTTCCCCCCCCCCTACTCAGTCCAAGCACCGAATATCAAATTGATGAGTTGCTACTGATTTGTGATATTTGACATTTGTGTTGAAGTAAATGAGAATCAGATACATATTGTCGCTTTTATTGAATTTTTAAAAGTAATAAGTACATTGAAAGTGGTCAGCAAATTATTCAATACAATTATAAATAATTGTGGATAGATAGACCTAATGGTCTACCCTTGCCCTCTTCCTCTGTGCGATTTATTGACACGTTGAAGATGGCCACCTCCGTTGAAACGAGCAAATGTAGCCAGATAATTAACATTCCAATTATGAATCCACAGAGTACATGTTGATCATTTCGAAATGTGAATCGTCTATCACCAAGAAGAGCTTGAACAATGATAGCTATCTCCTGAAAATGAAAGAGAATCTTGTTGAGGCTTATTCGTGTTCAGTATATATAAACATCGTAATATATTTGAATAAAGTATAAAGTACAAATCAACTGATAAAATTTTTTATGCCATTCATAACACTGATGGGAACGTGAAGACACGAAATTTTATCACTGGCTTAATGTTAGTTCATCAGCCATTCAAAGATAATAATATCTATTTCACAAATGTGGAATATCCAAACAAACAGTTGAAAGTGATAGCAATAAATTACTCAAGTATATGAATCGAACTGATATATTAGAATCTCAGCGTGTGACTTAATTTTCTGCAACTCCATATCAGAAAAGCGAACCTTCTCATAACTCATTCTGGTCTAATGGCGCATATTTGAAGTAAACTGTGATTCTGTTTCTAGTGCTCCTTTCATCCTCCCTAATACTTTGGACCACTGAGTATCACAAAACAGAATCAATCATTGCAGAAAATGCTTCCTTTGATAAGGATATTTAAGAAAATAAAACGGAATATTGTAGCTCAACAATGGGGGTGATATCTTTCATATTTAGAAAATTCGATAGTCAAATGTGAGAAGGCATAATGAGTCTTGTTGAGGGGGGATGAATCTGAGTGTAGCGATGTTTTGAACTATGGTGAAATCGCATTAAGTTTAAGCTTAAGTTAGATCGACCAGTAGCGAAACAGTCATATCACTGACATGGCATTCCCTCAGGTTCTGATAAACAGTTGTTGAATTTTGTCAGTGAACATATACAATGTGATATTACTCTTCCCAAATTGTTAGTTATCCTGAGGCAAGGAGCTACTTGTGCTATGTGACTAACAATGCATAAAAATTTAAACGTGAAGTTCAATATCCGTGGAATATTGATGTGTTTGTTTACGTTATATGGGAAATGACGGCATGAAAGAACGAAATGGAACTCTTGGTACTTTTTTACTTGTAGCTGATGACAATAAATTTACTTAAGGTAGCTTGATGGATGACTCTGTGTATTCGTAAACAGTTTGTACCAGCTTCACGTTTCAGCAGGAGAACTCAAAACTAGTGAGAAACCTTAGAGTGGCATTCATTTTCTATTTGCAATGAATAGACTGTGCGAAAGAAGTAAAATGAAGCTTCAATGTTGAGCAACATTAGGCGCAACAAGGCAGGAATAAAAATGGCATTCAAACCCACAAACTCAATTAGAAACAAGCTTTGTCGGCTAAAGGATCCTGTAGAGCCTTTAAAACAAAACAATTTAGTTTATCTGAAACCCTGCAATGATTGTCAGGTCAAATACATAGGTCAAACTAGTAGAACAGGGGCAGTCAGACTAGCTGAACATAAAAACCTAGCAAATCTAGATTGGTTGAACCGAATAAGATAAGAAATCTAGAGAATAGTTCAGCTATAGCACTACATGCAGTTACAAACAACCATACAATAGGATGGGAGAGGATGACAGTTTTAAAATCTAATGTCACAGGGTATAGGGAGAGATTGATAACAGAAGCTTTTTTTATCGAATCAACTACAAATACATGTAATAGGAATGATTCATCACCTGTCACCGATATCTGGAAAATTCTACTACCCCTAAGACAAATAGGAGAGAACAAAGAAAACTATAAAACTCAAGTGTCAAAGTCGTGTGATTACAATTGATATGATTATGAACAATAAATTTTGTTCGAAACGTCATCCAGTAAATAATATTGTTTCACTGTGTGATATATCTAATAAACAAACTAATATGGTATTAGGCTCGACAGTCGGAGTATATGTATCCCCCATATAAAATACGTGGGATAAGAATTTCCTTAGTATCGTAAACTAAACGTGCATCAACTGCTTCAGCTATCTACTTCATTCAGGACATGTTCGAGCTCTTAAACTGACAACAACCGGATTCATTTGCAAAAGTACCAATCTCATTTACAAATGATCGACTGATAAACGTACCGAAATAACTGTCCACATCATGGCGAATCCACACAGTATTATGAGTATCTGTCAAGAGAATGATGAATCAAATCAATGATTTAACTCAAAATACACAAAAATATGATTGTGAGTTTTGTCGAGAAAAAAATTATTTTACATTAGCCTTCACGTCTGTTAATTATTCACTGAGATCAGTGTAATGACACATTTTATAAATTGTAATAATAGTTCATAGGATGTTTCGAATGTGCAGACATGCTAATCCCAGTCACTGTTATCCACATTCTGCATTCAAAGGGTGGACTGGGAAACCGAAGGAATCATGATATTCCACGTATGTTTTAGTACATTTTTTCTGCTTTCAAATTAACGCAGAGAATGAGAGTGTGCTATTGTTAGACCCGTGTCTAACCGGGCTCAGAATGAGTAAGTCTAATAGGAAAAGTGATGAAGACGTCCGAGCATAAATACAACGAACCTCAATCACCATTACTTGGAGGAATCTAAACAGAGTTGTCATTCCATTTACCTGACCAAGTCAGAATCGTTTTAACTACAGGCGGGGTCATGGATGAGAATTTCATAGTCAGTTAGGATCGGAAAGGCGATACACAGAGGTGTTGTTTGCTCTGAAAGTGGTCGCGAAACAGTAACACCTGGCACACGGAACAAGATCCAAAATGTATAAATTCAAGGCATATTTGAGATAACTGCCCATAAGGGACAAGCAATAATTTAATCTACTAGCAAATTTCCCACCTTCCAATTTGAATCTTGCTGCCATTACCCTGTAAGAGGTGGCTGACATCCCCTACAGAAGAGTCATCGATACTTTTAAAGACAACATCATAGCCATAGACTCAGTGTGATCGTTGTTGAAATCTGGATGACAGAAGTAGTTATCAGCGTCTCCAATTGACAGTGGAGTGTCCACTACCAATTCCTCTCCCTTACAGGTTTCTAAAATTTCTATATGATGTCTCCTTGCTCATACTGCTGTCAGCGCAGTCCTGTCAGCTTGAATTATACTGTGAGTGTTCCATGTCCTCCATTTCCTTTCCATCGAAGAAAGATGGATAGGTTGATTGACGTCAAGGAGCTTTCATTGCCAGCGACTTTTCTGCTTTAACTTTCGCTGATTCCGGAGAGAAAGAGATTTTTCTTCCATGCTCTGAAGTTTCAGTAGTGATCCTTCTGGCTTACATGCGGTGTCTCTCCCAGCTTCAAGCCCATTCTACCTTCTTTTCCTGGATTACTAACAGTTAGTAAGCTGTATCAAATTCTTTTAGCATATTTCATTAGTGACAGATAATTTTTAATTAGGAGCAACTCACAGTTCATCTGATTACTTACATCAAATTCTCGCCAGAATATGAAAGGGAAGAATATTATAACAAAGGATAATTCCACAAGGAATGTGGCAAGTATGAACTCCCCAAAACTTTTGAGTATATCGAATCTGTTGACGACACTGACAGCTACTACAATCCCTGCGATAATCACAGTAATAATCCATGTGACAAATGTCCACCAGAATGGTAAGTCGATGAGTGGAACAGCTGCAGCAAAGGCAACGATTATTGTCTAGAGGGAGAAAGAGGAGAAGCAAACAATAATGAAGAGATGAAATACAACAGTTATCGAAAAGTATTTTTCG